AGAATTGGTAGGAGAGAAGGAGGAAAGAAGGAAGGAGGGAGAAAGAAGGAAGGAAGGAAAGAGAATTGGTAGAGAAGGAGGAAAGAAGGAAGGAAGGAGGGAGAAGGAATGAAGGAAAGAGAATTGTATGAGAGAGGGAGGAAAGAAGGAAGGAAGGAGGGAGAAGGAAAGGAAGGAAGGAAAGAAAGAGAATTGGTAGGAGAGAGGGAGAGAAGGAGGAAAGAAGGAAGGGAGGGAGGAAGAGGAAAGGGAGAAAGAAGGAGGGAGGAAAAGGAAGGAAGGAAAAAAGAGAAGAATTGATAGGGAGGGAAGGATGAGGGAAGGAAGGAGGGAAGGACAAAGGAAAGGGAGGGAGGGAGGGAGGGAGGGAGGAAAAAGAAAGAAGGCAGGCAGGCAGGCAGGAAGGAAGATCAAGGAGAGAAGGGAAGGAAAGAAGAAAGGGGAAGGAAGGAAAGGAGAAAGCAGGAAAGAAGGAAGGAAGGAAGGGTCTGCCACACCGATGGGTTGATGCTCCTGTCCTCCCCCTTCCCAGTTGTTGGTTGGTTGATGTCGGTCATGATGACTTCCAGGTTCAACTTCTGACTCAGAAGCAGCAGCATCCGAGTTACGACCCAAGTACCTTTTCAAGAAGATGAGGATGTGCATGGACCATGGGAGCAGGAGGAACGCTTGGTTCTGCTGAACGGCCTCCACCGTCCTCCGGGCCACCGTCTCCGGCTTGAGTGGAGGAAAAAGACTGGGGAACCTGCCGGAGAAACCAAAGCCACCTCAATGCCCGACTTCGAGCTCCCTGTGACCTTTTGACTGGCAAAGTCCAGGGGGGATTCACTTAACGACCGTCTAATTGAACAACGGCAGCGGGTTCGCTCCAACGAGGCAAAACTCGCAGATTCCTCACTTGGCAACCTCCATGTCGCCATGGGTTCCGTTGGGGTCGGGAGTTGACAACCGTCTGTATTTTGATCCACGTTCACACGGCGTGCTAAACCCGGAACCTGGGCCAAGTCCGTGGGAAGCTCCGTGGGTTCACTTAACAACCGTGGGACTCACTGAACGACGGCGGTGCTTCCCTTCACCAACATGGCAAGAAAGGGTCGTAAAACAAGACCAAATTCAGGTAACCCATTTCTCACTGAGCAAGCTAAATTCCGGGCCCCGTTGCGGTCGTACGTCGATTTGTATTTCTTCAGCGGTCCGTTTTGTGGACTGTTATCGATCCGGCCATATTTTGGATCTCTGGGAGTCTCCCTTCCCATCCCCTATTCTCTAAATACGGCAAATCCTTTCCCGAGCTGTCGCCGCCAGCCATTTTGGGGGTCCCAACGCCATCTGGGGTGGAGGACACACCGAAAATGCCAGGCAGCCTCTTAGCTGCAGCTTCTGACCGACAAGGCCGCCATTCCAGTGCCCGAAAAGTCCTTCCAATTTACAACATTTTTTGTTTCTTTCCCCCCACCCCCAATTGCCATGACTGGGGAGGAAGAGAAAACTTAATTCACCGTTTCTCAACTCCAGCCATCTTATAAGACGTGTGGTCTTCGGCTCCCAGAATTCCCCAGCACACAAAGCAAAGCTGGATGGGGGAATTCTGGGAGTTGAAGTCCACAAGTCTTCAAGTGGCAAAGGTTGGAGACCCCTGCGACTGGGCTGAATTGTGTAGGGAGGGGAACCCTTTTGCTGCGCCACTTATTATGCTGGAGAGACCCCCCCCCAAGGAAACCGTGGGGTGGCAGCTCTGCCCAGGGCCACTGGTGGGGCACCAAAATGCCAACACCTGGGCTCCGTTTGTGGGCTCCTCTGTTAAAGCTGCTCCGAGTTGAAGCCTCACAACCAGGAGTTGTTACCAGCTCCAAGGAGCTTTGCGTGTTTCACCTAAAGAGAAGGCTCGACCCAGATCCCAGCAGAGCTGCTGGGAGTTTTGAACCCAGGGCCACCTCTCTGCCCGCTTTGATCCGTCCTCCCCTTCCAGAGCCTCCTTCTGGCCCTGGGGAGTTCCGGCCTGCATCCAGAAATTGTCGTTCCACCAGCATTGGAGCGGAGGAGGAAAACCACCGTTGGTTTTTTTTTGTTTTGAAGCGACGGGGCATCGACCCGAATTCAACCAGCACCCACCTGATCCGTATCCCTTGAAACATCTCCGTGCTGGTGTGGAAGGGCAAGACGGTGGTGGCGTTGACTCCCGGACAGTCCAGAAGCCCCAGGGTCAAACTCTCCATGAAGGCGAAGGAAGACGCTTTGGACGTACAGTAATCCACGGCGCCAGGAATGGCCGACAAAGCGAGGATGGAGTTGAGGCAAACGATGTGTCCTCGCTGCAGTTCCAACATCCGCGGTAGGAAGGCCTTGGTGGTCTGAGGAATCACCAATCAGGATCAGAGTAGAGCTGGGAGGGGCCTATCCTGCCCGCCCGCCACCCTGAAGGGGGAAAGAGGGGTTCCTACCCAAAATTGTCCCAGGGTGTTGATGTGTTGGGATTTGAGCAAGGCGTGGTCATCACTGTCCAGAAGAGTCTTCCCATGAACCACGGCTGCGTTGTTCACCAGGATGGTGACATCTCCCACCTGGAAAGGGGGAGAACCAGGTCACCAATGGGGGGAACCATGTGATATCAGGGAGGGCGGGAGGAGAGGTGGGGAAAGGATAGAAAGAGAGAAAGGGAGGAAAGAGGAAAGGAAAGACGAAGGAAGGAAGGGATGAATGGGAAGGGAAGGAAGGAAGGAAAGAAAGATGTGATGGATGGGAAGAAAGGAAGGAAAGGATGAATGGGAAGGAAGGAAGGAAAACGAGAAAGATGTGATGGATGGGAAGAAAGGAAGGAAGGGATGAATGGGAAGGAAAGGAATGAGGAAGGAAGGAAAGAAAGATGAGATGGGATGGAGGGAAGGGAGGAGAGGAGAGTAAGGAAAGGATGAATGGGAGGGGAAGGGAAGGAAGGAAGATCATAAAATCAGATATGGTCATATAATACTTCCTTTAATGACCACACCACTTAACAACGAATCTTCTCACACACCCCCATTGTTTGTTGTAGCTCGAGGGTTGCCAGCAGGACCTGGATGTTAGTGGCTCGTTCGGGGGGGTGGGGGCAAAGGCCCACCTCAGCCTTCCTGTCCTTTCGTGTCCGGTCCGCAGACCAACTGACCGACTCACCTTTTCCCGGACGGCCTTGGCTTGCCGGTAAACCTCTTCCCGATTGGCCACGTCGCAGACGAAATAGTGGCCCTCGGTCCCCATCGCTTGGACCTCCTGTGTGGCTTCCTTCAAGCATTTCTCCGTCCGTCCCCACAGGACGATCTGCAAGACGAAGCGGCTTCGTGTTTTTAGGGACCCAGGACGTGGTCCCCGATGACCCCTCACAATCCAGGGATGCCCTCGACAACCAACCTCGGCCATCTCCAGTGACTGAGCAGAGCCCAACCTAGTTGAGATACCACTAGGAAAGTCCCAAGCTAGACCTTAACACGCCACCCAAGAGAATTTGGAGTCGCCACTGCCGTGGAGCCCACCGGAACCCCCAACCAGACTCCCAAGGTATTTTGAGTTACTCGGTTGTGTTGAGAATGTGATACACACAGGGGTGGAGGGTGTGTGTGTGAATCCATGTCTCCACCTACCTTTCTCCCTCCCCCCACCCAACTGATCGAGGAGAAAAGCAACCTCTAGAACAGGGGTCGGCAACCTGCTGCTCTAGAGCCGCATGTGGCTCTTTCCATCGCTCTGCTGAGGCTCCCTCTTGCCAGTCGGCTCCACAATTGTTTAATTCGTGGAACGACTTGACTTCAGAAGTTGCGGATGCTCCATTGGGCGGCTTTCCTGGTGCCCGGGATAGAAGTCGGACGTTAAGCGAATCTGGCTGCCCTCTTGACTTTTGCCTTGCCGCAAAAGGGGACCGCGTGACACACACACACAAACACATACACCCGAGAACACAGCGACCGTCGTAAGTACGAATCAGTTTGGGAAGAGTCTGAATGTGGATCCCGGGTTGGGAAAACATCACTTTTTTTTTTCATTTGACGTCGTAACTTGGTCATTAAACAAATCGTTGTAAGTCATTATGCTAATTGGCTAATTTGGTTAGGCTAATCGGCTAATTTGGTTGTGCAGATCGGCTGGTTTGGTTATGCTAATTTGTTAATTTATGCTAATTGGCTAATTTGGTTACGCTAATCAACTAATTTGGTTATGCTGATTGGCTAGTTTGGTTATGCTAATTGGCTAATTTGGTTACATTAATCGGCTATTTTGGTTATACTGATCAGCTAGTTTGTCTCTGTCTCTCTCTCTCTCTCTCTCCTCCTTCCTTCTACCCTCCCTCCTTCCCTCCCTCCCTTCCTCCTTCCTTCCTTCCTTCCAGAACAGTTAATACAGCTAGTCCTTGACTTACAACAAGTTCATTTAGTGACCCCTGGAATAAAGGGTCTTACGGCCGTTTCCCACACTTAACACAGCCTTTGCAAACATCCCCGAGGCCGCGTGATCAAAATTCATGGCACTGGGCCAAACCGACTCGTATTTACGACACGATCCTGCGTCGGCGACCTCCACGGGGAAATCGAATTCATTCATGGCAAAACGTTGCGGCTCGTGGAACCGCGGCGGGGTGGTGAGGAGGGGGCGCAAAACGGGGCAGCCCTCCTCCTTAAGCCCCATCTCGCTCAGCAACGGGAAGGTTGGCCATTAAGTCGAGGACTTTAGGTTTGAATCCGGTTCTGGGCGATAAAAACAAAAACTTCAAAGGAACTTGTTTTCGACAGGCCAACCAAAAAAAAAAAAAAACCACACACACACACACACACAACAAGGTGACACACCTAGGCAAGCCGAAACACGCATCGGCGCCGAAGGCATCTCTCTGATGTGTGAAAGGTATGAGATTTGCAAAAAAACACACACACCCCTTCTCCAGGCACGCACACACACTTAACACACCCACCCATAAACACTTGGCTCACTCAAGTAGAGACTTGATGGCCTTTCTCCGCCATTCAGCTGAGGCTGAATTTCACACACAGCCTATCTGCACAGCGACGCAACCAGATTGTACCCCACAAGCGGTGCAGGGCAGTTTAATAAATGCCACCCCCCCCAAAAAAGAAATCCCATTCGCTGTTATTTCGGGGTGCCCCACACACACACCCAGGGTAACACCCTGTCTGGGCTTTCTTGGACAATGAAGCCTTCTATCCATCCGTGTGAGGAAGAAATGAGGTTCTCGTTCTCGGGGACCTTGGAGGTCATCAAGACCAACCCCCCCTGCTCAAGCAGCAGACACCCCCCACCAGAGTCCGTTTCAGACAAATGGTTACCCCATCTCTTCTTGAAAACCTCCAGCGCCCACAACTCCAGGAAGGGAGGGAGGGAGGGAGGGAGGGAGGGAGGAAGGAAGGAAGGAAGGAAGGAAGGAAGGAATAAAAGAGCCGGAAGGGACCTTGGAAGTTTTCTAGTCTAACCCTCTTGCTCAAAGAGGAGAAGGAAGGAAGGAAGGAAAGAAGCGAAAGAAGAAAAGAAGGAAGGAAGGAAAGAAGCGAAAGAAGAAAGGAAGGAAGGAAGGGAAAGAAGGAAGGATGGAAGGAAGGGAGGGAAGGAAGGAAGGAAGGACAGAATAAAAGAGCTGGAAGGGGCCTTAGAGGTCATCTAGTCCAACTCCTTGCTCAAACAGGTGAGCCTGGACCATTTCAATCCATCAAACAAACAAACCAGAACAGATCTCGAAGGGACTCGAGGTCCTCTAGTCTACCACCACCCCCTCCTCAAACAGGACGACCTAGATTCATACCGGTCCATCGATCAAATCAGAATAGATCTGGAAGGGACCTCGGAGGTCTTCTAGTCCACCCCCAGCCCCCCACCCCTCCGCCCGAGCAGGAGACCCTACCTAGACCAATTCAGACAGGTGGCTGTCCAACCTCTTCTATAGGGAGGAAGCCTCCCCCCCACTTCCCCGCCGCCGCCGCCCACTTCTTCCAGTGGCAAGCCGTTCCACCCTCCGCTTCAGTCTTCTCCCTTGTTGGGGGAAGTCCGGAATTTGATTCGAACCGGGAGCCGGACGAGCTTCAAGCCCCTTTGGTTGGGTCAGCCAGCTTGGGTCCGGATGGGGGCGGTGAGGGGTGGTCTTGCGGATATCCCCCCCCCCCCAAAAAAACCCCCCCCGAGGGGGGCGGGGGGTTGTGTCTCTCTCGCTGTGTGTGTGTGTGTGTGTGTGTGCCCGCCCCGCAGAGCCCCTCCCCTCCCCCCCCCACCCACACCTGCCTTTCAGCCGAGGCTCTCACCTTGCGGGCTCCGCGCCGGGCGAACTCGCGAGCCAAGGCGCGCCCGATGCCTCGTCCTCCGCCGGTGATGAGCACGCAGTCGGCGGCCAGGTCGCGGGGTCGGGCCGGCAAGAGGCGACCCAGGAGAGCCCTGGCCGTCTGGAGCAAGATCCGGGCCGCCAAGAGCAGCAGCGCAGCCCCCAGGCGCCCCCAACCCATCCTGGAGACCCCCCGAGGCGGAGGGCAAAGACCCCCCTCCCCTCCCCTTGGCCAAGAGGGCTTCCCCCTCCCCTCCCCTCCTAAGACCCCCTACTCTTAGCCAAGCGGGCTCCCCCTCCCCTCCCAAGACCCCCTCCCCTTGGCCAAGCGGGCTTCCCCCTCCCCTCCTAAGACCCCCTACTCTTAGCCAAGCGGGCTTCCCCCTCCCC